ACCCCTTTCGGTAGCAACTCCTGGCTTCGGGACTCGGCGGTGCGTGGGGTTTTGGGGGATGGACGGTTGAACACCCTCAATGGCGAGCCAGTGGGCTGGGGGAGGAAAACGTTAGCGGGAGCACGGAAAACCCTTCAGTTGAACCACCTACCAGTGAAACTCATGTCGCGCGGCACCTTGGGCAGGGGCGCGTTGATCAGCTTTTCGAAGTCGACCTCCTCATCCTCCAAGTAGTAAAGTGGCTGGCCGGGACCGAGGCTTGCCTCTCCATAGCGTAGCGGGCGCGTTGATTCATATCCGTAGAGGGGTTCGACATCGAGAACGCGAAGGGCTTGTGCTATATCGCCGACAGTAAGGGTTGTGCGACGCGCCGCGCGCATGAAGCGGAGGGCCTCAATCACAACCTGGCCGATGCGGTACTCGGCATCTTGCGTCAGAACGCGAAGAGCATCTTCGTTCAGAGAAGAAATGCCAACGGACTCGGCGACATCCTTGACATTCTCTGGGTTCCAGAGGAGCTTCGTTTCGGGCTGCGCAGGTTGGGCCATGGCAGCGGCGTTGATAATGCCTGGCTATAGCGGTTACACGGGTGGGTGAAGCTGGTTTGTCAAGTCGCGACGCATTGGAGTTCAGGATTCTGGTCGCTTAATTGCTTACGAGAGCTGTTCCCTAGATGCTGGTTGCGTGTGGCGCGATACATCGCTCTAACGGAGCTACTACCCCGCTTTGTTGTTGTGAAAATGACGAGAAGGACGGTGATGGCAACACTGTTGAACCATGGAACATTTTCCACGAGATAGTCGATGGGAGGAACACCTGCAGGCTTTTTTCTTCTTCTTATTTTCTGACTCAACTGCATGATTAATCCTGGTCATTCTGCTAGTTGAACAGAAGTCCACTAGTATATATTTTCTCGTGACAATGCAGCACAGTTGCTAGATGGAGGCACAGGAGGATGGCCAGGCGTTGCTTTAGCCTTGAATATGCTGCCCTTCCTCAGCAGCCGCTTCATGATCCCTCCGTACTCTCATAAATATGTGCCCTATACTGTTTACATGGCTTTCCTTGTGTTCGACCCAGTTTATAACGTGAATCGCCAACAAACCTTCAGTACACGCTGACTGGGTGAAGTAGATCAACTCCGTACTGGACAAAGCCCCCCCAAATCGGAAAGGGTTCCTTCGTAGACTTAGATTCGGAACACCTGCCCTCAGAATTATTCAGGGGCATCGCATGACGCCGTAGTGGTGAGATATCGATGACGTTGAAACCCTGACGTCATGGAACCCCGTTACACAAGCGGCGTGTGACCTGTTGGTCACTACGTACCTACCTACCTCGTCTTGCCTTCTTCAAGCATAACAGCTGCTCTTCCTTTGGTTCAACAAGATTATCAAGATATAGCACAAACAACCCATTACGAGCAACTTGACGAAACATCTGAAAGTCATGTCTGAGCAGAACACCAACCAGCAGCCCGGACTCATCGCTGGCCACGCTGAATACATTAAGGGCGCTGCAGAGGTAAATGCCCCAATCCCACGTCGCATATTATGGGACTTCCTGAGACTGACGGCAAGAAGAGCGCAATTGGCAGCGTCACTGGAAGCCACGCTTGGACTTCATCGGGTGAACAGGACAAGGCACATGCGGCTTCCACCATGAAGGCAGCAGCTGAGACGCGTGATGCCTCAACGCAAGGCTACGGCAAGATTGAAGAGGCAGCGGGCAAAGCCTTCGGATGCGAGGGCATGGAGAAAGAGGGCGCAGCGAGCGCGAAGAAGGATTGAACGTGAGCGGAACTGCTTATCACATCACACCTTAATAAATTCATCCTAAGCGTCCCATCAAGCTCGATACACTCGGTTGACCTACGGGAGCGGCCTCAAGGACATAGAGGCCAGAGTAGGCATGTAGCACAACAGTGGGTCACAAAATGACCTGGCTGTTCCAAATTGGCTGGATAGTCGAAGCCCTACAGCTATTCGACCGCTATGAGTCGTTCGTTATACAAATGCTGTCGGAAGAAGCCCTCGGCAAGCCTCCAGTTTCAGTTTGAAAGAACAAGAGATTTGGTCATCCTGATTTTCGTTTGAATAGATATTGTACCGTAATAGAGATCGATGGATTGCAAAATTTGAAAACTTGCCCTTGTTGATATGCGTGCACTTGGTGCAATTCTTCATACGTGTTGGAGTCGTTAATCATTCTTCCCTTTCTTTTGCTCTTCATCTTCATACTCAGGATATGAAGCTTTGTATCCGAGCAAGAACTGTCCAATACACCCAATCAAGATCATCAAAATCGTGTTCAAAATAAGGTTGAAGCACTCCGGACCTGGCACGGGCAGTGCAATGGGCATCCAGTTGTGCATCGCGAAAACCATGATCTGGAAAACGGATGGCGACACACCAGCTCTCCGACAGTCTGCGAAGTACGACAAAACGTTCCTAAAGAAGGTCTCTTCCATCTCCACATACTCCTTGTCGTAGTAGTATGACACCGCTAGTGGTTCTTTCGAGTCGGGAGCGACGTCGAATGTGTGCCATCTCCGAGCGGGCACGACAATCCGGTCACCCTTCTTCAATTGAACGGTCTTTCCGCCCCAAAGATACCATGTACCCTCCCCAGAGTCGACACGGAAGTGCTCATCTTGAAAGAGGTGATAATGCGGCGGCGGTCTGTAGAAACTCGATTCAAAATCGTGCTGGGACTCCTTCTGAGGAAAGATCTGCGTGGAGAATGTAGCATCCGACGGGCTAGGCGTTCTGAAGCTAATCGAGAACAGTCTTTGGTGGGTGTCTTGAAGTACGACAGGATTCTGTTCTGACGTGCGATGCCGCGGGACATCACCCCCTCTTAAGAAGGCAAGGGGTGGAGAGAGACTAAAGTTGAACATACTGAAGGTGGACTTTGGTTGCTTCAGCTGAGGTGGCCGGATGTGCTTAGCTCGAGCAGAAACGCTTGCCCATCATTGATATGACGGTGATTGTCGGCAGCATAAATATGTCGGACAAGCAGTGAGCAACACTGTCGGCTTGCGTCGCTTCTGACTGCTCGACTCCGAACCGCGTCGGATCTTGGGATGTCTTGGCAAACGTTTGATTTGTCGTAGTGTTTTAGACTTACTCAGCGCTAGCTAAGCTGGCGATCGTCCCGCCACGCATTTGGCGACCCCCCAATTATTTGCAGAGATCGGTTCAGCCTACTGCAAGTAAGTTTCGCTGTGACGTTTTGTGATCATATCGTGTCTCGCGATTAACTCGGCGACCGCGAGCTTACCCACGGAGTAACAGTCTAGGTGGTTTCGCGGCCCACTGAGTTGACTTCTTCATTCAACAGCAAGGCCCCCTCGCCTCGGCCGAACAGACACTCGGCCATCGATCCACGAAGTCTACGGAGACTTGATGACCAAT